ATGGGGGCTGAAGATTCTCTCACAGAGAAACATTACAGACGTTGGCAGAGAAAAGCAGAAGTGAACTCGAGGCAGCATTTTCTCAGGCAGGAGGGCAGATGCACCCAGGCCCGTGGGGGCCGCCTTGCCAGGTAGCCACGTCCACCTGCCTGTCCGAGGTGGACGAGAGGTGATGACTGGCTAACACGTGTTCGTTAGTTACTGGCGGCCCCCAAACCATGGGAGTATGTTTTCCCTGGTGTTCCGATTAATCTATGTCTATGTGGGAGTTTTAATACAAATTTCAGAACGAGGGAACTTTTTCCTGTCTCTTCAGGAGATTCACTTTGCTGATGTCTCTATGGGAGTTATGTATCTTCCTCAGCACGTGGAAATTTCCAGATAAAATGTTTATCAGAGCAGAGAAAAGGCCCAGGTGCCCCTTGCACCCCAGCAGCCTCCCTGCGGCATGAGTGATCTCTCCAGGCTGCACTTTGTGCAGATGGCCCTGGACTAGCAGGCGCTCGGCTTTAAAAGATCTGTGTCTCTGGGGAGAGGACGCAGGCAGAAGGGATCGTCAGAGCTGTTTGGGGAAGTCAGACTTTTTAACATCTTGGCGAGGTAATACCGCTGAGCTTCCGTATAAATAAGATTTATGACGTTATAACTGCCTCATCTGCTGAAGAGGGAAAGGTGGTTTAAATGTGAGCCAGAGAATGGAGCGAGGAGGTTTTACGTCTGGGAGAGGCAGCAGCAGGAGAGGTGAGTCACAGGGGCATGCAGAGGTTGCGGACGAATACTTTCTTCGAGGAAACTAGATTGGAAGCCAAGTGAGTGACCTGCACTGGACAGAGAGGGCGCAGGGGGCCCGGCAAACTCCACTCTGGATTGGGCCAAGAGCCGCGGGTGTCAGGTCTCCATCTGACCTGATGGCGGACAGGCTGGATGGTCCCCTTCTGGGGCCCTGCCGTCCCGGGGAAGCAGGACCTCAGGGAGACTCCCTCTTTCCAGCCATAAGCTGCCCCTCTGGGCGTTTGGGATTTTGGTTTTCCCACACTCTGCTGGTTGACCGCTCACCAGGAGCTCTGTGGTGTCTGTCACCATCCCTCCTGCTGACCGTCACCACCCTGAGTCTTGTCCTTGAGCAGGTCCCGGTCTTTGTCCCTGGGAGCGGCGTTCCCTGTCTCCCTGGCTCATGCTCCATCCGTGGCTCCCGCACCTGCAGAGTTGCCTGGGGAGCCGTTAGGGACACCGGCACCTGCGGCTGAACGCCACTCATCAGAAAGTGTGTCCGTCAGCTCAGACACTTTCTGACAAATGCCAGGCAGTTTGTGCACCAAGATGGGCGGTGGATGGAGATGTGATTTCTAGTGGAGAAGATTTATTGAGGACACACGGGGGATTTCAGCGTCGGTGCGCTGATGGGAAGTGTCGTGTTGTGAGCAATGCCGCAGACCCGGAGCGCAGACTGAGGAAGAAGAAATGTTTCCCAAGTACGGGTGACCTCATTATTCATGTTTTGAGGAGCCCAGTATTGATCCTCATGGCTTCCTAAAAGTTTTACTTCATTATGAAAAAGTTCTAGGTCTTAAAACATTTAAAAGCTGATAATCATGCAAGCTGTGACTCAAATTCCAAGTCATTATTTCGGCCACCATGAAATACTTAAAAACATTTTATAAAAATCTGGGTCATTAGGACAAACACACTGCAGAGGAAAGGGCCGGGTGCAGCGGGAGGACCTGGGGTGGAAGGCAGGCGTGTCTGTCCCAGGCGTGTGCGGCTGGCGCTCTGGCCCTCAGCCCTCCGGTCTGTAAGGCGCGCACTGTCACTGCCTGGCACAGCTGCGGGCTGTAGATGGGATTGACTGGACCGTGCGTTGAGAAGAGAACACGTGTGAGGCTGCGGGTTTCGAGGGTGAGCACACAGCTCGGAGAAGGTCCCGGGCACTGCCGCAAGGGGTGAGGCCTCCTCCTTCCAGACGATGGTGTGCCTTCAGGATCCCTTAAGCCCCAAGCGCTGGTCTGGTTGTCGGGGAGACGGTGTGGGGGGGGATGCACTCCCTCCTGTGTCCATGCCCGTGAATCTCCCTGCTTCGTGTGGGGATCGTGCAGAGCCTGTCCTCCTGAGACTGGCTCGCTCCACCCGGCACAGTGTCCTCAGAGCTCATCCCTGCTGGATCCCTTCCTTCGTAAGGCAGGATGGCGCTCCCCTGTACAGATGGACCACGTGTCCTTTATCCGTTCATCAGCCGAACAGGCCTCCAAGATGCCCTGTCTTCACAGAGTCAAACCAGTTTGAGGGACAAAGCCGCAGGCATCACGCTCAGAGAGAGACAACGTGATTGACTCGGTAGGGCCATGCGAAGCCCCCAGTAACCCACACTTTCTTTAATCTGTCTCCAAACTGTGAACAGAGAACTCCTACTTCACGGCACCTGTCACCATCGGGCCCTTCAGGGAAGCGCGGCTCTGTGGATTCCATCAGTCTCCCACGTCACTCTCCCCCCGCGTGGGAGTTCTCCGTGTCGGGCCTTGGCTGCCTGGTGGGCGAGCGGTCAGAAGTCAGCAGGGCCGCCCACGTCTGGCTGCAGACGTGTCATCCAGAGAGTCTTGCAGTGACACATGGCTAGGAAGCCAGCCGCGCCACAGACACCTTGGTCTCGTCCTGAAACGCCCGTGTTGTGTGAGTTTTTCACAGGGAGCCTCACTCAGGATCTGGAAAAGTCAGAATTGAGGCTTTATATCAAATTGCCTGGATTTCAACACCATGGACTGCGGTTTTGTGTGGAGTTTAGTGGTGTAATTTCACTTTGTCCCCTGACTCTTTTGGAGATTTTGTGTGTGGCTTCAACATGTGGGATCAGAAACCATGGACATCAGGTTTGGATTTGGCCTTCATGCTGGTGGTGTTGGCTCCTTGTTCCGGTCCAGGTGTTCCTATTGGTAAGTCTGTGGGGAACCTGAGAAGCAATTTCCAATTTGCAAGATCCTGAAGCATAAATGATGTGGACATTATAGCTCTTTTTTCAAAATGTCCCTTCCAGAAGCTCAGTAATTATGACTTGGAAACACAGAAATTGAATTAAGTATGTGTGAAATTTGCAAGAACCTCGTGTTCTTCTGTCATGTAACTTGGCTTTCCTTTCCTCCAGGAATAAGTCACCATGACTGAGGGATTTGAGTCGAGTCTCAGGGTGTGGGCAAGGGGGTCAGCTAGCGTTGAAGTTCTGCACGGGGTCTGGGCAGCTCCTGGATTCTGCCAGGGATGGGAGGGCCGCTGGGTAAGGTGATTCTGCAGTAACCATGTGCATATTAGGACACTTTCGAAGGAGAATGCACCTCAGTTTCTTGAACGTTACTCATTACTCAAAGTGAAAATAAACAGTGATCGGTCACCAATAATCAATCAATCCCGTAGCTGTCAAGGTTAAGATTCACTCACATGCAAAAGAGGAACTTAATTCAAAGTGGAATGCAGTAATGGGGCTCCTGTGGTTCCTGTAGCTGGAGTCGGGGTGGCTGGGAGCACAGGGGCCAGGGTCACGCAGGTCACAAGGGTCCCTGGTCCGCCCCTCCGTGAGCAGGTGTCCTCTGTGCCGACTGCACCTTCCTGCTGACACTCTCCATGTGCTGGCAGATCCGCCATTCCCACACCTGGATGTACCCACGTGGAGACCCTGCTCCCACTCCCCGGACCCATGTCGGCCTCCCCGGGACACTGGCTGTCCCTGCATCTTGTCCCCATCCCACGAATGGAGCAGCTTCCTGAAGGAAGGCACAGGCATACACAGTCCCAGGAGGGGACCGAGGTGGACGTCATGTTTAAGGGAAGCATGAAGTCATTTTTGAGATGTCAGATCTTGAGTCACAAAGAGGAGCCACTCAGAAAAGCTAAGATGGGTGGTGGGGAAGGATGTCCTTACCCGGGGGGCGGGGGGGACAACTGCTCCCTCGTGCCCCGAAGGTCCTGCCCCCAAATTAAAATATCAGAGATCCTGCCTTTTCAGGTGCGGAAAGGAGTAGTACATCTGGGACTAGACAGGCCAGCTTGCTGTCCTTGCTGTCCTTACATTGTCGGAGCTTTCCTTCTGATATCCTCTCAACAGCTGAGAGCACAAGGCAGTTTTGACAAAATTTAGTTAAGGTGTCAATTAGATAGCAGTTCTCTTAAAAGGAATTTTGACGTTTTCAATTATTTTAGAATTTTATTATGCCAAAATAGAAGAGAAAACTCAGAACAAGATATGTAAACCTCCTTCCCCACGAGTAGAGCGGGGTGACAGCCGGAGAAGCTTCACGTTCACCCTCAGAAGCGTTAGGACACTGATGACCCGTGGCACCCTAACTGAGACGGTTTGCTCACGCCTGTGTCAGCGGCAGGTCCACGCCGACCTGCTTGTGGACGTAGTGGGGACCTGCGTGGGGTTTGCGGAGAGAGGGAAGACCATCTTTGGCATGAAATCCTTATCACAGCATCACCGGGGCGCCAACTGGCCGGTGTCAATAAGACAAGACTGGGGGCGCCTGGGTGGCTCAGTCGTTAAGCGTCTGCCTTCGGCGCAGGTCATGATCCCAGGGTCCTGGGATTGAGCCCCGCATCGGGCTCCCTGCTCCTTGGGAGCCTGCTTCTTCTCCCTCTGCCTCCCACTCCCCCTGCTTGTGTTCCCTCTCTCGCTGTGTCTCTCTATGTCAAATAAATAAAATCTTTAAAAAAAAAAATAGGGCAAGACTGAGGTCATGTGACCCCCGACCCTGCACAGATGGAGTCAGCGCCCAAATGGAAGGCGGGAGCTTTACCCTGTGAGATGCGAGGAGACAGGCTCCCTGTCGGACTGTCTGTGCAGAAGCAGCACCTTTGTGTCTGCGGTTGTGTTGATCACACTCTGCCTCCCACCCTAAACCTTCCTTATCTGATGCACGTTTGTACTTGACTTTCTTGCAGCTCAAAAAGCATAGAATCCGTTAAATGTTCTGTAACGTGCTTTTCTAAGATTTACAGCATTTCATTTTTTCTTTCAGGAGCTCGAATTCCCGGACCTGACGGCCGTCCTGCACTGCATTCACGCCTTCCTGGCAGCAAAGGTGGCCTCCGTGGACCCCACGTTCATGGACCGCCAGAGCATCGCGAGGAAAGTGCTTCTGTTGAGCACTGAACATTAAATTATTTTCTTAAGAAATGAGTTTTTCCTGCAAATATTGCAACTTTGTGTGATTTTATAACGAGCCTATAGTTGTGATACCAATAAAATATGTCACTAGTTTGCAGAGATGGGTCGTTCTTCTTAGATCTGACGGGCCAGGGTGCTGCTCGGGCGTCTCTCTGAGTCACACGGAAGCATGTTCTGCACCATGCGCTCTGCTTCCCACACTGCTAATTGCCAGATTGTGTTTCCATAGAATATGTAATAGAAAAGCCCGAGAGCCCACCACTTGGATTCTTCTCTGGAAGAGAAGGGTTTCCTCTGCATTTGGGTCGTTAACTTCCCCTTTTTCTCAAGGAGGGGCTGAGTAAAGGTGTTAATTTGAGAAATGAGTAGGAGAAATCTGTTGGAAAGAAAATTAATTTCAATTTTTTAAGTTTACTAAATTTTTATAAACATATAATTAACACATCATTTAAGTGCTAATTTATTTTCCTAATTCGTGAAATATAGCCTTTATTGTAGTTTCCTTGTTTTTTGGACTGTTTACTACTTCTAAGAACGTCCTCTATTTTTGTCCTTAAAAGCGACTCACGGACTCCTGAATCTTCTTTTACAGACACGGACTGTGGTGCTAGATCACATCCTCATGTCTCACGGCTTCGAGGACAGGAAGCATGGAACCGTCAGGAGACAGTTCAGGAGAACAGGTAGATGGTTTCCTGCAGGAAAGCAGGCGCACGGCACTGACTGCCCGGCACCCCTCCAGGGGTGGCTTCAGTGAAAACTGCCCACTCCCTACAGCCCACCCACCGCTTGTCGGTCGGTGTCTGGAAGAAGGAGCTGTTTGGGTTTGTAACATATCACGTGTTTATAATCACGTATTAGACACGTGACAACATGTAGACGGTATCTGTATATGATGCGTGCATTGTATATAGGATTCTTGTTTACACTGTATTGGCTTCTGTGGAAGACTAATAACCAAGGCAGAGTATTTAAAGTGGATCTTAACTAATATTCCAAAAGAATGGTGCTCACAGAGCTTCAGGCAACAATGTTCTCTGTAGATGTCAACGTCAGTATTAGGAGCGGAGTTTACAGCCAAACACCAGGTTGGCGCCCCCCCCCACCCCGCGTCTGCAGCATCTCTTCGGGTGCGGCTGTTCTCATCTCCAGATTTAATGGGTTCCCTGTTTCGTCACCTATGCCAAAGAGCCTAGACTCACTCAAACATAGGAGGTATTCTTCACCAAAGAGTGAAGAAATTGTGAAAATATTTTTTTGTTTATTTTCATGAAAACTGTAGATTTTAAAAGTGTTCCTTTACTGGATCATAATGAAAAGAATAATATTTTCCCAGGAAGATTTGATGCTAAAGTTTAGCATCAAAAAGTTGTGCATTTTAAAAAAGTGCATCTTTTCAAAAATTAACATACAATTTTTTGAAAAGATGCACAACTTTTGTAAATTAAAAAACAGCAGGAGTCTTTTTGTATGAAGTGAACGGTGGCCGCATGCCCCTTGTCCTTCCTTTTGCGTTCCTGCTGCACCTGTCCTGCCCCCACAGGTCAGGCTGCACCCGTCAGGCCCCCGTGCAGATGGCGGGGGGTGAGGGGCGGTAAAATGACAGTTATTGCCCTAGTTTGGAAGTAGGACCTGTTAAGGGCATGGACTGTGCCTCCCGCCAGGCTGTCAGGGTGCTGGGTGGGAAATTATTTTCATTCAGGAGATGTGGTTAATCCTAAATCTCAGTTTTGCATTTTAATTAGATATCAGTAGGAACGACCTGCAGATCTCTTTGATCGGAAACTTGTTGGTGCTGGAGACTCTGCTAAGGGCTGTGCACACGTGACCCCTTTCAGCTCACCCCCTGTCTGGCGCAGGTCCATCTTTGTTCTCACTGTGCAGGTGAGGAAACAGGCCGACGAGCCTCTCTGCCCAGGTCTGAGGCCGGGTTGCTTCTGGCGCTGGATGAGCCCCGGGTGCGAAGAGAGGTGAGCGAGCCGAGCTTGGTGTGAGACCAGGAGGCAGGACGCTGCCCGGCCGCGTCCTGCCCTAACAGGAAGGACATCTGCAGGGAACAGTTTTGAACATCAGACACAGCTTTACATGGTCCACATAAACTTTTTCTCATCTCCAGGTCTGAATCTTCCTGAGCTCAAACATTTCCTTATCAAAGGAAGGGGATCTAGCTATGTTCAGTCTTTGAAGTTAAAATGAATGACCTGGCCACACAAGAAAGTTCCTGAGAGCCTCTTACTGTACGTAAGACACCTCCGTGTGTGTGGACACGTGGTTCCAGCCCACAAAGTCCTTTGACTAACCAGCAAACTCCTGACTCTCGCCAGGACCTAACCCGATACTCAGGATAAGACGTGTCCGTGAAACCTGAAACACTAAGCAAAGGCGCTAGGCTTATTTTTCTATCCCTGTGGACAGTTTGTGGGAACTGATTTTTAAAACCTTTAGTTCACTGGGGTCTGTAACAAAAACCCATCTGTACTTTCTTAGCTGCCCCTGGGTGATGGCACAGCCACCTGGTCTTTACCCACCCAGACACACAGAGGAGGCTAGTTTCTTTCCGAGCAGATGTGAGTCTGGCAGCTCATGCCAGTTCTGATTATTACTATTATCATTTTACCTTATTCAGAGTTTGGAGCAAGAGAACAAGCAGCGATAGTTCCTAACCCATCCCTCCCTGTTTTCAACATGACATTTTTTGGATGTAAAACTGATTTATTCAGCTCTGGATCCAGACTCTATTTTCTCATGGTTTGGCAGGCAAATGATTTATTTATTATTTTTAATCGGGGCACAGCTCACACACGATGTTACGTTCATTTCAGGTATAATCACAACAAAGTGGCCGGACGTGCCGTGCCTGCCGCGGGCATCCCTGGACACCACCATCATGCTCCCAGAAGCCCCACCTCAGCTCTGACTTCACAACAAGCAAGGCTTGATCCCGTGAGAGAGTTTGCCACCGTGGTCCAGGTACGGGGAGGAATAGCCCTGACCCCACATCCCGAGCACCAGCTGGGGCGGTGGAGGGAGCACTCCGTGAACCCCGCGAGGCAGGACACATTCAACCCAGTGCCTGCCGCGCTCTGTCTGCCCTTGCCCTGCAAACCATGTGCCTCCCGGGTTCATGCACAAAATCCACGCGCACACATTATAAACTGTAGCAGTGCTGACAGTGGGAGGCCGCTGACGAAGAGTACATTCTGTTTGTGTCAAAGTCCCTGACAGACGTGAGAGTGCCACGGGCCCACGAGGTCTTCTAGTTAGAGAGGCGTTTTCCAGCGCATCCTAGCACCAGGCTGGACAAGCCCCAGCTCCGCAGGCTGATCGTCGGGGGACAAGGGCACAAGCCTCACAGGAAACACACAGCTGAGCCGAACAGAGAGATAGTTGGTAGAAACGCCCAGTAAAAACTCTGTGAAGCTCTCACCGGGCGACAGCCCTGGGATGAACAGTACATGTTTTAGAGGGCGCTGCATCACTGAGGACCCCACTCTGTAGATTCGAGGAGACCAAGCCAGGCTCATTGGTGGCTTCTATGAGCAAAACATGGAAGTTTGAGGTGAATGCACTGGATTCCTTCATTCGACAAATATTTGTGGAAGGATCGGTGGGTGCCAGGCAATGAGGAGCCGGAAGCCTGCTCCGACGCAGCTCACGCACCTCCAGGAACCAACGCACCCACGGCTGGAGGGGCTCGGGGTCAGGATGCGTGCACAAAGGTGGCAGGCAGGCCTGCACTGGGCCGGTGAGTGTGGACTGTGGACTTCCGGCCCTGCTCCATGTTTCATAAGGACACAGATGTACTGGTTCCAGACAGATAATCGCCTTGTCATATAAGATGCTTTGTATGAAATATGACTTTGGGCTTTTCTGTTTTACTTTCTGTTTTTCTTTGGGGCTGGATTTTGGGCTGAGCTCATCTGCTGTTGATATTCAGACACAGATCATGAATCTTCCGTTGTTACAGACTTACCCACAGCGTGTCAAGGAAACGACTTTTGCTTTGCTCAGTTTCTTCTATTAACACCCTATGTTGGCCCTTTTTGAGGTCAAAGTTTTAACAAAATTTGGAACCGTTTATGAAAACATGTTGACAAAGGAATTCTTTAAAAAAGAACATCACACCTAAAAAGGTGAGACCTTTAATTTGTAGCTATGTCTTTGAAATAGATGTTAACGAATTTTAAAAAATTAAAACAAAAAATTAGTTTTTAATCCTTTTTTCCTAATTTCAAATTTTAAAAACGGAAAACTTATGAAGAAAAGCGCATTGAACTACTCTGCAGGCTGGACCTTAAGGCTGATAAAACATGTAGAAGATGGATGGAAGATACTAGACTCCACTTAGATCTGCATGAGCCTCTCAAATCAGCGAATCAAGAAACTTAGCTTGATAATGAAAGAAAGAATCTACGTCATTCACATGAAAACACACTCAGAGTCGAATTACTCCATATGTCCTATGCACATTCCTCAGCTTCTGATTCTAAACACTATTCCTGCTTTTTGGTGAAGCCATGTGCTAACCACACGATTCCCTTGTTTTAATAAATATACCTCAGTTCCAAAATGCAGAATGAGTAAAAATTATGTAAAAATATTTGGCCAAATGTGTACTTGTTTACCCCTATAGAAGATAAGGAAAACATCCATTTTGAGATATACGGAGGAGAAAACAGGGTTTTTTCAGCTCCCCATAATGAATATTCCTCTCATTCTGGAATGTAAGGTTGGACAGTGTTTCAGCTAAGGCCTTTGTGCTTGTGTTTGGAATAGAACGGGCTCTCCTGGGCGGATCCCACATACGTCAGCTCAGACGTCCTCCCAGACCCTGAAATAGAAACACAAGAGAGTCTCTGTTTCTCCCTTCAGGGTAACAATGCACCTCATACCACAGTGACCCCAAGTGTCTGGGATAGCAAACAAGTTAACAATAGAGCTTCCCTACGATCCAGCAATCGCACTACTGGGTATCTACCCAAAGGACACAGA